AATCTCTCAACTCATCTCTGATTTGGCAGAGATGAGTTAGGTGATTGCCATAATGGTAAGCCACCACCGTCAACTGCCGCATGGTATTACCATCACGAATACGTGAGCCGCCAGCGGCAACTGGTAGATGGCACAGCCATCGCGATTGCGCGAGCCCCTACCAGAAATTCGTTGCGCCGCCCTTGGGGGCAAAAAACGGTGAAAGCTAACGTACGAAATCAGAGGGCAGCACACGGTGCGATCGCGCGACCCTGCCCGTGAGCAATCTCCCAACTGATCTCTGATACCCACGACTTTATCGCCGGCATAAAGCCGCGTTATCAGGGCGAAAATTTCGCCAGAAATAATCGGGCAAACCGCACGAGCCGTGGTCATTAAGATGGCGGCCCGAAGGACGTGGTCGTTGTGTTTAATTTATCGAGCCATTGGCATAATATCGACGCACGTATATACTCGGCCACCCGGCATAAATAATGCAATCACGATAGACGCCTTTCAAGAATCGGCCGATCGGAAAATGGCGGCAGGAAGAGTCGAGGCTCATATTCTCGGAATCTCTTCCAGCGAAAACCCAAGGAAGAGTTAAGCCCCTCAGGTGTCGACTAAGCGGCTTATCCTTTTTGAAGCACCTAATAGGCGGGCGTATCGGGGAATTAAAAATGCCCTGCGGTTGAACAACCTCGTGTTCCCTGGCGGAGGTGAAATCCAAGATGGCGGACTAAGCCGGGCGCGTCGAGAAACACAGAACGCCCGTACGAATTAAGTCCTCGACTCGATTCGAAGATCGCTTCCGCTCAGATGATCTCATCGTTTTCACGCTTTGATTGGACGGACGCCATGGTGTGCCTTATAGACCCCTCTCTCTCTCTCTCTCTCTCTCTAACAATCCGAACTTCGCTGCCAATAAACGCCGGCGATCCGATCAATTCTGCCTGGTCGGACCTGGCGAAAACTGGACTAAAGAAAAGACTAAATAATTCATGCGACTAAAAAAAATTGAATAATTCATACGACTAAAAAAAATTCAGTGATTCATATCACTGAAAAAGATTAAGTAATTCCTTCGACTAAAAAAAAATTAAATAATTTATACGAGCACCATTCTGTAATCTCGCGGAAAGAAATTACGATTGTGATAACCGTAACTATTTTGCAAGGGACCGTGTGCTATAACCTTGGTAAGAGATGACAATCAACAGTACAAAGAACACGCAGAAAAATGATCGAATCAATACAATTATTATTGGTTCAACCATAGGATATGGTTATTATATGGAAAATTCATTAGTTAATAACGTTTGGCTGATTACATCGAACATTGTGGGAGATCACAAGTATTAGGGTAATTTCTTGTATTTATCTAAAGTATTTCCTAAAGTTAACAAAATGACTTAATCAAAACACTATACTTGATCGAACGAAGCTAGTTTGGTCACGTGAAATAATATTCGGTTTACTCAACCAAATGTTGTTCAGAAATTAATCCGATATTGCCAATGAATAATTTTTTTGCTGTAGGGTTACTTGACTAAACAATCAAGGTAACCATATAAGGTACGAAGGTACATTGGAACATCATGCTCGTCGTAACTTCGTTACATAGGTAATATATTATCATTTCAAAGGGTAATCACTACCGTAACTTTTTACCGGTTACATTCGCAATTTGATGCATTTGCGAGGTTCAAATTACCTACGACAATATTTCACCTGCATTGCGGGAGTAATTCTAACCAGATTATTTTTTTTTTTTTACCATGAGTATTACAATTGGCATCCGAGAGACATTGTCATTAACCAAGGGAAATTTGCGGAAGCGCGGTCTTGAAAGGATATTCTTTCCGACCCTGAAGTAGTGGCCGGAACCCGTATGGGGTTCCCTAGGGACCCCATGAATGGACCCAAAGTGCCGTTCACACGACACACTCGTGAGAAATACCACGCCCACGAAACAACCCTTCTTTGTGCCCCCATAAAGGGAAAAAAAGAAGGTTAAGAACCACTCTTACGGGTTCGGCGATTTTTTAAAGAAATTCAACGACCGACCCGGCATTGAAGTCTCCGAGTTTTTGCGGCCCCGGAAATGCGGGAGGGCGCCAGGAAAGGGGGTTTTCGGTGGTTTCGCGATCCCGACGATGCATCCCCATAAAAGTGTGGGGACATGTTGCGAAAAAGGTTCTAAAACCGTGATGAGATATTTCCCTTGGAGGCGCCGCTTTGTGCGGCGCCCTCCGCAGAAAAGGCGCGTCCTCTGTTGCACTCTCGTCCGCAGTAAACGGGAATACGTCCTACGTATTCCCTCGGTACGGGAACTTGGTTGACTATTAATATCCCGGCGTATATTTAGCCTTCAATGGAGAGCCCAGGGAGGAAAACGAGGAGGCGAACCTTGTCGATGGCTCGGATTTCTTTAGCCGCCCTCGAGTCGAATTTTTGCGGGAGGCCTTGACTGCTTTTCCTTTTTCAAACGATTTTCAATCAGCGATTTAGCTTCCAGTTAGGTTAAGAATATCCTACCGAGGGACGGATTAGGTCCCTACGTGGAAATTCGAATTTAAAATTAGCAGGGATGGCAAAAAGAGAGGAGAAGAAATGGGTATACGCGGAGCCAGACGAGCAGCCATCGCGACATCCTGTTTCTCCGTTCCTTCTCTTTTTCCCCGCACCGGAGGCCCTGAAGAACTCCCCCGGCCTTCCTCTTCACGGAGACACATGACTCGCGGACGTGTCGTCACTTCGGGAAAAACGATACCGGAACGACGAACCCTGAAGACCCCGAAATGAACTCTCCCCTGGCATCCGTACCGCGAGGAAATGGACCGGAGGTGGAACGTCAACCTCAAGGGCGATCCTGAAGAGAAGCGGATCAATTTAGCGGGAAAACTATGGGGCTTAGAAAAAGGATCATGATTTAATAATGTATGAATATACATTTATCAGGGTAAAATTAGGAATGGGTTAAAGGGTTATAAGATCGTCCATCGATTGTTGGAAGATTTAGGTATCTCCCGAGGTCTAAAATCAGGGATGCGCCCAGAAGACTTGGAACAGCTGCAGCGCAGACAGGCGTTCTCCATTTGCTCCTCTCGCATTCTTGAAGAAGTTGGATTTGTTTTTCGCTGACGCACCCCGGGCTACGCCCAGAGGACCGTCAAGAATATCTTTTTCCAGGGAGCAGAGGTCCCTTGCCGGCATCTCTTCTGGTTACGTTCCCGAAGAACGAGCCGCGAAGAAGGGACGCGACGCCTCCCTCTTCAAGGTCGAGGAGTAAAGTTCTTGCAACCGGAAGTCCGATAACGAGCGACCCCCCCAAACCATCTCTAAGAGCCATGGAGAAGAAAACACCGAAAATCGTGTTCGCCATCTTTATATATCGGTATCCAGAGTAAGCAGGGTACAGGAGAGACATATATTACATCGGAGGTTCGGAGAAGAGGTAGCCATTAAATAAAAACCTACTCCTAGGGATAAAGAAACCGGCCGCCACTTCCGTTAGTCCTTGGAGTCTCTGTCTCTTCATGGCGCGAGCCTTATGGTACACCTTAGGCCTAGGTACACCTTAGACCTAGGTGCACCTTAGACCTAGGTACACGACACACTTCGAGGCACTCTCCACAAGTATTCATCGGAATAATCAGAGTTATCAGAGTACACGTTTCCCATATCACAGACAGCCGGACCTTGTTCAGGTCGCTACGACCTCGCGGAACCGTGGTCGGGCTTGATCGGAAGTGGCCGGTTGGCCATCTTGCCGGAAGAGGAAGCCTGCGGCTCCGGAAGCTCCGAATACAAGTGCGCCGTCACGTCGGAAGGGTCGGCGTACTCGCAGAGCAAGGAATTGGGCCTCTTCGAGGGGTTCTGCATCCTGGTGGCGCCAAGGATGCTCTCACCGAGGGCCTTAAGGAACCCCAATGGCTTGGCCTGGCTCCTGGACTGTTCCCTGCGCCCTGGGCTTTCAGCTTGAATCTTCTGCTCCAGTCTGATGTTCGACCTGTCACTGATTCTGTCTTCGGGAGCCAGGTCGTTCAGCACATCCGGAGGAAGAGGCTGAGGAGCCCTGAGGAGGGCGGAGTTCCCGAGGTCCGGTTGATGAAGACGACTGGTGCTGGGCAGCGCCTCGTCTCCGGGCAGCTCTGCATAGAGATGGTTCTGGTCGCTGGTCCTCAGGTCCCTGGGTTCGGTGTACTCGGCGATGGGTGGCCTGGGACCCGAGACCGCACTAGGAAGCAGCTTTTCCAGGGAAGGAACCCTGGTACCGACACTAGTCGAGGGTTTGGGAGGTCCCCTGGGCCTAGCCCTAGATCTGGGGACCACCACGTCGTAAGGGTTCTCCTGGGGGTCGTGAAGTCTCTCCTCTTCGTTGTTATTGTTGCAGCTCTCCTCCACCTTGATCAGGTCGTACAGGTGCTCGATCATGTCCCTGGCGCGACCGTAGTCGTCAGGGTCGTTCAGCTTCTCCCGGAGTTCCCTGAGGTACTCCTCGGTGAGCTCTTCGGGGAGGGTCTGGGTGGCCTTGTTCTCCGTGTAGGCGAAGACCTCGTCCTCCTCCAGGTTCACCGGCGTGGTCTCCACGTCCAGGATCCTGGTCTCCGGGCGCAGGCCGGCATACTCGTGCACGCTCATCCTGGAGATCGACCTCGCCGAGGTGGCCGCCGTCATCTCGTTGTTGCCCGGCGACATCCACGAGGCCAGGTTGTGCAGAGGCCCCGAAGAGATCTTGGCGCAGACCCCTCGACGTCGCGCGTAGAGCCCCCCAGTGACCAGGAGGATGGTCGCCACCGACAGGATCACCACCAGACAGATCACCAGGATGATCCTCTTCTCGCGGTCCAGCTGCTCGGAGTCGCTCATCTCCACGTCGAAGTACCCCTTTTGACGGGGGTACACGTGGGGCCCCACGCTGGGGGGGCTCGCGCTGGGCTCGGGTTTGGCCAAGGGCTTCTCGCAGACGATGTGGCTCCCCTCGAAGCAGATCAACCTGGTGAAGTTCTGCATCGGGAGGACCCCTTCTGGGACGTTCAGACAACTGCTGAGGAAGCCGTCCACCGCGCAGAAGCTCGCGTTCATCAGCCAACCCGTGGACTCGTTCTTCCCGTAGAGACCCTGCATCCAGGAGTCCAGGTTGCAGCTGCACTTCTCCTGGAAGTAGATGGTCCCGACCCGCGACTGGCTCACTTGCTGAGACACTCCCAGGATCTTTAAGGAACCTGGCTTGGGATCCCTGATGCGGTTCCCCGTGAAGGAGAACTCGGAGTTCGGGGCGGAGGTTGCTGCCTCCTTCGCCACTATCGCGTCCTCTTCCAGGACCTCGAAGAGGTTCTGGTCGATCGAGATGCGAGTCCACTTCCGCAGGACCACGGAGTTCCGGTGGAGATGCTGGAACTCGTTGTTGTTGAACGTCACTATTGCTGCTGGAGTGTTGATAGCTCCAGATTCTACCGCTGAGAGGCTGAAGACGTGGAAACGTTCGCGTTAGGTCTTCAAGGTTTTAGGAATAGTTGCACACGGAAAATAAAAGAGTGGTCAGGAAAACCACAATTGGGATAACCTTCCCAGGTTACGGCAACCAGAGTAACTTAGTAAAACAGTAAAGTGTACAAAGAGGTTGTGAAAAGCTTGGTAGAACAACTCGTTCCTTGCAGTTACCTCGACTAAATCGTGAAGTAACCCTTACCATGTTACTCCGATCCCTGTAAACGCTTACCCAGGTTGTCTCAAAGTGCTTACGATCACAATTGTGGTTTTTCTGACCATTAATTCATTTTTCCGTGGGGTGAACTTAAATCGGGCATACCTTGAATACTGGATGGTGAGATTGTTCACCGCCGCCCTGAGTGCTCCGGATCTGATGTTCTTCATCCTCACGTCGACGAACTCCAGACTGTCTATGTAGGTCCTCTCGGTGAAGGCTCCTGCTTCCACGTCGAGCAGGGTGGCGTTGCTGATGGCCACGCTGAGGATGTTCATCGCGCAGAAGGCGTCCTTCCTGATCACCTTGGTCTGCACGTTGTCCATCCTCACCTCCCCGGCCATCGAGGGGAACAACGCCGTGGGGAGCTCCGCGATCTTCACGTTTTGGAACATGATCTGCAAATGGGATAAAGGTCGATTTAAATGCCGAAGAGCCCATCGAGGGTAGGCGTAAATAAATTCGGTTCACCGGGCAAATTCGTTTGATTGCATCTGGCTCATTTCGGGAAACGTTCCGGTCGAATGAACCAAATTTTAGTTCATTTGACCGGACAGGCTCACTTCTATCGATTGAAATATTTTCGGTAAATCACGTTTAATACTGGGAAGTATTTTGGTTAAATATTTGATGCGATCTACCGCAATATTTGAGATACTAAACCAAAGGTTGTTAGCAAGAAAATTTTGTGTCAACCTAATATTAGGATGTCTGTGTAATATTCATATCTATGGTTGAACAAACGAAAATTTGATCGATTCAACCAAATATTTGGATGTCTGTACAATAATCAGATCTATGGTTGAACAAACGAAAATTTGATCGATTCAACCAAATATTTGGATGTCTGTACAATAATCAGATCTATGGTTGAACAAACGAAAATTTGATCGATTCAATCAAATATTTGGATGTCTGTATAATAATCATATCAATGGTTGAACAAACGAAAATTTGATCGATTCAACCAAATATTTGGATGTACGTATAATAATCATATCAATGGTTGAACGAACAAAAATTTGATCGATTCAACCAAATATTTGGATATCTGTATAATAATCATATCTATGGTTGAACGAACAAAAATTTGATCAATTCAACCAAATATTTGGATGTCTGTATAATAATCATATCAATGGTTGAACAAACAAAAATTTGGATGTCTGTATAATAATCATATCAATGGTTGAACGAACGAAAATTCGATCGATTCAACCAAATATTTGGATGTACGTATAATAATCAGATCTATAGTTGAACGAAGAAAAATTGGATGAATTAAACCGGATGTCATTCCGTGAGGAAGAAATCTCCAACCTTGGTCGCTGGTCCATGGCGACCATGAGGCGGAGTCTCGAACTTGAAGGCGTTGCTGGAGAGCTCGACCGAGAGGACCTCCTTGACGGTGATCCTGAGGAGCCAGGAGAAGGCATTCGGCTTGATGGCCAGGTGTTTGCATCGAGAAATGGAGACGCTCAGAGGGCCCCGGGCGTTCCTGAAGGCATGGCTCTCCAGGATGACGCTGTCGCACTCGGAGACCTCTAGAAGAGGATTCGGGGCGCTCAAATTCTGGAAAGCCTGTCTCTTCGCGACGACGCTGTAGATCCCAGAGACGTGGACCCTCTTCAGCTGGGCTCCTCCGGTGAAGGCCCCAGCCTGGATCCTGAGCTCTCTGCACTGCGACACCTCGACCTCCATCGCGTCTGCCGGGACCACCCCCTCCACCAGCTCCACGTCCTGGAAAATAAATCGGTTCTCCATAAAGACCCCGAAGGAAAAGTGCATCCGCTGATCGAGGCTTTCCTTCGACCCTGAAGAGGCCGACGAAGAGCCTGGAGGAGGAGAAGAGATTCGCCAGAGGGAATCGCGACCTCCTAGAGTTTCGGAACCACCCAAGAGAAGAGACCGGTTAGCTTCTTCAGGGTCCCTCCGAAGCCGGAGGCTCTCCCGTCTTTACGATATCGCCGTCTTCCACCCTGAATAGGATTCTCGGCGCTTTTCCGGGTCCTATCTCCGCTCCACTCGCGGTGTATATTTTCTCATGTAAATCATCCCGAGACCCCCGGGACGTCACACGTAACGCGGCCCCTCCTGTTATGACGGGTGAGCGCCATTTTGAATAAAACATGCCAGGATTGAACGAGCGGGGAGGGACCAAAAAGTGTTGCTTGTTTCCGGGGAAGCCAAAGCGCACCTAGAGAAGGCCTTCCGAACCCCTTCGACCGAGTTTTCCGAAGAGTGAACGCGTCTTCAGGGTTCGGATGGCTTCCTCGTGGATGCTTTTCCGGGGGAACCACCACGTGTACAGGAAAACCCTTTCGAATTTTCCAAAGCGGAAAAACACCTTCAGGGTCCAATGGCCTCTTCAACTTTGTCAAAAAGTACTCCAGCCAAAGAAAATGTCAAACTATAGTTTTGTTACTGTAAGAATAAGATTTAGTCACTTTGCAATAGTTACCTTCGTTACTGGTTAAAGATCCAAGTTGTAGGCAAACACTCGCATACGTACTCTATATCCGAAACTAGTATAGTTGTAACAATTGTCAGTTCTAACTTAAATAACTTTTTCCTATACAATTTATAACGACTGGAACCTTAGTTAAGTGACCAAATCTTATCATTATTGTAACGAGTAAACTATGATATTTATACATAAGGGTTAAACCCCCAAAATAACGAAAACTATCCGAATTTCTTGTTGCAAGGGAAGTAAACTTTCATTCCCCTAACAACTTGCAAACTCATAGAAAAAATTCATAGAAAAAAAAAAAAAAGAATTAACAATAACTATCTATTCTGAATTTTCGCGATGACACTCATCATAATTCTAATAATTATTGTTCATTCGAGTTGCCTCGAACTGAGTGGTCACTTGAGGGATCGTTAAGAACAATTTGCCACGTGCACGAACAATACTCGCCTTTACCATAAATATTTATTTCCCTTAGATTTATAAATCTCCCAATTATATCGCGTTACAACTATACTCGATTGCTTTCCCATTGGTATAATAATTATCGTTCATCCATATTGCCACGAATTGAGTGGTCACTTGAAGGATCGTTAAGAACAACTTGCCACGTGCACGAACAATACTCGCCTTTACCATAAATATTTATTTCCCTTAGATTTATAAATCTCCCAATTATACTGCGTTACAACTATACCCGATCTCTCCTATGCTTTCCCATTGGATCGATGGAATCCAAACTCGCGCCGAGTGCTCGCTCCATCGTCCTCCATTTCGGAGTATAAATAGGCGCGCTTCTTTTGGAAGCGGTACCGGAAGTGGCGGTGTAGACGAAGAGGGCCAACAAATCGCGAATCGTGGCCGTCGGCGGGATGACTTCAACGCGAATGGAGATAAAATCAAGCATGATATGCGGCCGAGCCCCACATTGCGCAACCAGAAAACACGGCCCAACGTCCAGCTGGAGAACGCGTGCAACCTTGTACAATGGCGGCCGCGTCCCGTGTGCGTATTAAATCGCCACGACAGGCTGCGTTTCGCAAGACACTCGGGAACAACGCTTGAGGGCCCACTTTCCATTCCAGAGCCATGTGGGGCCTCTTTGCCCGAAGAGGTTCCCGATAAGAGGACGGGAAGCACGTTCTTTAAGTACGATCCTCTCTAAAAACAGGAGCCTCGGGTTAAACATTATTTTAAGGTCTACTTTTGGGGGTACTATAAAATAACTATGTTTTCACTTTGGCGTTAAGTATGTGGTGAGGTTCGCGCATGACTTTTAATGTATTTGGCGCGAAACTCTACCGGGTATCCAGATATATTAGGAGTATCCATAAGTAATCAATTTTTTGTTGACATCTGAAAAACCTTTTTCAGAATAATTCATTACTTATGGGTAACCCTAGTATCATAAAAATTGCTCCTTGCTCGAAGAGGTTCCTAATACGAAAACGGGAAGCGTACTCTTCAAGTACGATTGGAAGGGACTCTTTAAAAAGAGGAGCCCCGGGGTTAAACATTATTTGAAGGTCTATTATTTGGGGGTACTATAAGATAACTCTGCAAGGTGGCATTTTAATGTATTTGGCGCGAAACTCTACCCAGTTTCTTGATGCATTACAAAAATTGCCCCTTGCTCGAAGAGGTTCCTGATACGAGGTCGGGAAACGGGCTCTTCAAGTACGATCAGAAAGGGCTCTCTAAAAAGAGGAGCGCCGGCATTAAACGTTATCTTAGGGTCTCTATTTTTGGGGGGACTATAAGATAACTATACAGGGTGTTTCCAATCGAAACCAACTATGCGAGTACGTTCTATGAGTAGAAACAAAAGGAAAATGTTTATAAACTTAGATGAAAGTGCCCGTAGACCTTTAATTAGCAAGTTGACCTAATTGCAGATTTTTGTCATGAAATTTTGGGGGTTATTCGACTCTTCCAGTTCTTCAACTCTTCATGGTTCGCTCTTCCGGGTTCCTTGCAGCTTCTCTTTTTGCCGAAGAACCCGTTCCCTCCTGCAGTCACTCTCAGGGAATTACACCGTCCTTCTCATCATATTCCCTCTCGAAGTCTTTCTCTCTGAAGAGGACCCAAGGACTTAATCTGTACACCCTTAATTAACAAGTTGACATAATTGCAGATTTTTGTCATGAAATTTTGGAGGTTATTCGACTCTTCCAGTTCTTCAACTCTTCAGGGTTCCTTGCAGCTTCTCTTTTTACCGAAGAACCCTCCTGCAGTTACTCTTAGGGAATTACATCGTCTCTCTCTTCAAATTCCCTCTCGAAGTCTTTCTCTCTGAAGAGGACCATGAAGGCTTAACCTATAGATCCTTAATTAGCAAGTTGACATAATTGCAGATTTTGGTCATGAAATTTTGGGGGTTATTCGACTCTTCCAGTTCTTCAACTCTTCAGGGTTCCTTGCAGCTTCTCTTTTTGCCGAGGAACCCGTTCCCTCCTGCAGTCACTCTCAGGGAATTACACCGTCCCTCTTCGACTTCCCTCTCGAAGTCTTTCTCTCTGAAGAGGACCCTGAAGGCTTAACCCCTTGGGCTCCCTGATACCTCGTCACGCAAGGGGAGGAATTTAGACCTTTCGTCTCGGTCCAACCCCCTCGGGGATCTCACTAGGGGATGTCAAGGTATTCCAGAAGAACATCCCACATCGGTTTCGTGATCTCTTGATCCTGCCTCCTGGACCACTGGTTTGGGCCGTGAATTATGAATGCATCTCGGGGCCCAATTTCGTGGAAATCCAAGGCGGACCCACACCTAAAGCTGCATCCACAACAGATTATTCTGGTCCCTCTGGACCGTCCGGGATGCTGCGTGACTCATTGTCGGCATTTCATGGGCAGGTTTCATCCTCGCCCAGCCGTGAAAACGTTCCCGAGGGGGACTGGGGAGGAAAAGAGCGTCCCGTTTCCTCTTTGAAAAAGAACCAACTAAATCCCCCCCCACGGCGGAGGAATAAAATTGATAGATCATAGAAATTCCGCTCTGAATTCCGCGATCTATTCCCCATTCCTGACCTCGGCGCTCCAATTTCGCATTGCGAAATCCGCGGCTACTTTCTAATCGGCCTCGCCTTTTTTTCTAGACCTCCGAGCTTAAATTTATGCGGCCGTTTTACGCCCACCTAGAGATTTGCAACTGTGCTTATCTTTCGAAATATATAATATGTCTTTAGAGAAAAACATAAGATTGTACGTTTGCGTGTTCGCGGGGATCTCGAAATCCACTGGACCCATTTAATCGAACTTTTACGGAATATTTCTTATCCCGTGAGGAGCAAAACTTTATTTTATTCCTCCCCCACGTCGGAAAACTTATCGACGAACAAAAGTATGAATTAATTCCGTAATCTTGTTACAGACTAATTTTTAATGTTTAAAAATGTTCCTCCGAAAATTTACGTTCTGAGGCCAGATGAACCGCGTATTAATTAATAATGCATTCTCCGACATTGTTGGTCACTACTTGCCGCCTTCCTGGTAGTTTTATTTATTTAACCGTGCAATAATTTCCAAAGAAAATTGTTGGCGCAAAAAAGAAACATTTATTCTCGAATTTATGGAATAACGTAAATTAATCTCGTAATTTGACTGCAAAATTTTATTTAATATCTATGCCATCGAAATTGTATTGAAGGAAACGCTGGGCTTATCATCTGGTTCTCAAGACACGTGGGGGAGTAAGTGACTCCAGATAGACAGATTTACTTCATATTGATTTCATATCGCACTTTTACATGAGTCACAGCAATCTTCATAGCTATGCATTTTTTGTGCGTCCCCATATTGCAGTAATATATTTATCTCATAACGCGATACACGCAATGCCGTCATATTGAGGTCATATCGACCTCACTCAGTGTTCATTATTCATTGAATGATAATATGAGCCTAATATATTATCTACGCTTCTATACACATAAATGGAATATTTAGTTGAAAATGTTCATTGTTCATTGAATGATAATATGAGCCAAATATATTATCTNCGTATGTCTTTTCCATTTAATTTATTACCATGGGGTCTTGTTGTTGGTCTTACATTTGCTCATCGACCTGCAGCATCCGCGTATCTCGCGAGTCCTGGACCGCTTTTGGGGAATAAATCATCGGGAAGGGGGGGATTTTCGTTTCGTGTCTGCGTCGTTAATTTCCGGGATGGCCGTGACGTGACCACCGGACATTAGGATCGGCGATGTCGGGCATGGATGTCGCGGATGCGATGCGCTCAACAAATTGCACGCTATCTCGACGTTGT